ACGCCTCCCTGACCTTCCCTCTCCTCCCCAGGATCACGGCCACAGCGTCCAGCGTGGGCACCGCAGGCATCCCTGCTGGAGGTGTCCTCACTCTGGCCATCATCCTGGAGGCAATCAACCTACCAGTTGACATCTCCTTGATCCTGGCTGTGGACTGGCTAGTGTGAGTGTGGGTTTGGGGCTTCAGGGGGGTCAGGGGTACTCCCGGAAAAGGGGATGAGCAAGAGGGTCATTGAGAGCCTTTGGGCCGAAGAGGAGGGAAGGCCGGAGTTCTAGAGGCAAGGGGGTGGGATCATGAGCATTCGAGTCAAAGGGAAGGGAGGGATCTTGGGGCTTCTAAGAAGAACCCCAGAAACGTAGTGTGGGTAATAGGGTGGACTCTTAGGTCAGGCTACTGCTTGTGTTCAAAACTTAGGGCCACCATTGCTAGCTAGTATGAACTTGGGCAAGTGTTAAACTCCTCAGTTTCTCCATCTGTGAAGTGGGGAGATGACATAATACATAGAACTCCCTTGTAAGAGCCCCTAGTAAGTAGTAAATGCTGTATACATAATTGTTAGGTATCTCGATTAATCTACTAAGAGTATAAAAGATTGGAGCCCAGCTGGGGGTGGCTCAGCGGTTGAGCATCGACCTAGGATCCAGGAGATTGCAGTTTGATACCCGGTCAGGGCACATGCCCAGGTTGCGGGCTCAATCCCCAGTCGGGGGCGTGCAGGAGGCAGCCGATCAGTGATGACTTTCTCATCACTGTTGTTTATCTCTCTCTCCCTTTCCCTTCCTCTCTCTAAAAATCAATAAAGATATTTAAAAAATTATAATAATAAAGTAAATAAGAGTATAAAAGATTGGAAACAGTTTGGTTTCAAGTTAAATATAGAATTGGCATATGTCTTAGCAATATCACTCCTAGGTATGTACCCAAGAGAATTGAAAATATGTCCATGAAAACTTGTACAGAAATGTTCATAGTATATTATTCTATTAATCACTAGTCATAATAGCAAACAGGTAGAAACAACCTAAATGTCCATCAACTGATGAACAGATACAGAAAATATCACCTATCCATACAATGCACCATGGAGCCAAGCCCTCGCACCCACATGTTACCACGCGGGTGACGTTGAAAACATGTGCTGAGCGAGAAGTCAGACACAGAGGACCACATCATCTATGACTCCATTTCTATGATGTGTCCAGGACAGGCAAACATATATAAAGCAGATTGGTGGTTGCCTAGGGCTGGGGGATGGGAGCAAATGGGGGATAGCTGCTTAGTGGGTGTGGGGGTTTCCTTTTGGAGTGATAAAAATATTATGGAATTAAATAGTGGTGATGTTTACACAATTCTGAATATACTAAAAACCACTGGGTTGTACACTTTTAAAGGGTGAATTTTATGGTATGTGAATTGTAGGTCCATTTCCTAAAATGCCACACACACACACACACACACACACAGAGAACATAAAGAGGAAAGAAGGTCTTTGGGATTCTAAGAAGGAGAAAGGCCTGAGGGAGAACACCGCATTTAAGGGCTGGAGGCTCTTCTGGGGCCCCAAGAAAAGGAGGGGGTGACTTTGAGCTTCCAGAAGGAGCAAGTCTTGTGTTTTATTGGAAGAAGGGTCATTGGGGCCCAAAGATGATGGAGCAGGAGATCTCTGGGATTCAAAAGCAGAGGAAGTACAATGGGACACTTTGGCACTCCAGGGGACAGGGGGCAGGGGCTTTGAGGTTCTAGGAGGTAGGGATGCTTGGCATCCTGAGGGGATGGGGGGATGACCTGCGTCCAGGTTTGTAGAATAGGGTTCTGTGTAGGATGGTGTGTGGGGACTTCATGATTCCAGGGAGAGACGGGGGAGAGAGCCCGGCCTTGAACGCCCCCCTTGCACTCACTTTCCCGTCACTCCTCCCCCTTCAGGGACCGGTCCTGTACAGTCATCAACGTGGAAGGTGACGCCTTTGGGGCAGGACTCCTCCAACATTACGTGGATCGGACAAAGGCTCAGAGCCCAGTGCCCGAGTTGATNTGTGGATCAGACAAAGGCTCAGAGCCCCGTGCCCAGGTTGATCCAGGTGAAGACTGAGACAGCTGTGGCTCCCATGCCAGTCCCCATCGAGGAGGGGAACCCCCTCCTCAAACACTACCCAAGACCTGCTGAGGATGCTGACACCTTTGAGCAGGAATCGGTCATGTAAGCCCCAGGAGGGACCTTCCCTGCTCTGATGGGGCACTTTGGACATTGGAATCACAAGATGGATAAATGGACATACCAGGGCTCTGGGGGCCCTGCCCATACACTCTGGGGAGCCAGGGGCCCCAGCCTCCCTCCTTAACCCCAGATCTGAGAGGCCTTGCTGCTGGGATATATGTGTATGTGGGTGTGAATGTCTCCCCAAATCTCCCTGGTTCTCAACTCCTGCCCCCACCCAAGGTTAGGAAACAGCAAGATGGAGAAGTAGAGTCCTCCACGCCTCCTCCTGGAAGCCTGCCTGGCCTGCCCATCTCAGGGCACAGGGCACCACGTGGGATTCTGCCCTCTCTGATAGGATGTTCCGACGTGTGCTGGCTCCTTTGCTAATTGTTTTGGTGGCTGTAGCTGTGTGTGTCTGTGCGTACATGTGGGTGCTGTGACTCCACCTTACGTCCCACCTTGTCTTGGGAATTCTGGGTATGAGGAGACTGAGGACAAACACTGCTGTCACTCCAGAGGACATTTTTTTAGCAATTAAATTGTCAAGTATATCTAATCAGTTGTTTTTAATAATTTGACTAAAAGCACTAGCCACACAAATAAAAAACAGGATAAATTAGACTTCATGAAAATGTCCATCAACACCATGGCAACTACCACGAAATGCCACACACGCCTACCAGGATGGCAACAAAAACAACACCATGTGCTGATGGGGATGTGGGGCAACTGGACAGAGCCCATGCTTTTCTGGTGGCAGCGCAGCATGGTCCAGTGACTTTGGAAAATGGCTAGGCAGTCTTCTTTAAATTTGTATTTATTTTTTATTTTTAGAGAGAGGAAGGGAGAGAGATCAATCAATTTGTTGTTCCACTTATTTATGCATTCACTGGTTGATTCTTTTTTGTGCCCTGACTATGAGATCGAACCCACAACCGTGGCCTATCAGGAAGATGCTCTAACCAACTGAGCTACCTTGTCAGGTAGCAATCTTATCAAATTAAAATAGACACTTATGCCCTGGCCAGTTTGGCTCAGTGGTTAGAGCATCGGCCTGTGGACTGAAGGGTCCTGGGTTTGATTTCGACCAAGGGCATGTACCTCGGTTTCAGGCTGGATTCCTGGCCCTGGTCAGGGCATGTGCAGGAGGCAACCAATCTATGTGTGTCTCTCACATCGATGTTTCTCTCTCCCTTCCACTCTCTAAAAAGCAATGAAAAAATATCCTTGGGTGAGGACTATATATATGTGTGTGTGTGTATGTGTGTGTGTAATATATATAATATATTATATATTATATGTATTATATGTATTATACATATATATTATATGTATTATACATATATATTATGTGTTATACATATATTATATGTATTATAATATATAATACATATAATATATTACATATTTATATATAAGTATATATTTATATATACATACACATATATATACAGTATATATATACTACATATATATATATTTTTTACCATACAGCTCAGGAGCCCCACTCTTAAAAAATTCCCCAAGAAAAATGAAAACTTCACACAAAACCAGTACACAAATATTTATAGCTGCTGTCCTCATAATTGCCAAAATTCAGAAGGAAGTCACTTGGATAAAGTAATACAATTCTCATTCATGTGGTTGAAGGCTCCTTGGCAAAAAAGCAAGTATTGATATACAGTTGATGCTTGAACAATATGGGTTTGAACTGCATGAAGATCCACTGATACATGGATTTTTTTTCAATAAATAGCTGTAGTTTTGATGTGTTGGGAGTCTGTGGATGTGGAGGGCCAACTGTATGCATTGATCTACATCACATGTATAGGGGACTTGAGCATCCGTGGGTTTGAATATTCAGGGGGGTCCTGGAACCAGTGTACCACGGATACTGAGGGACAACTTAAGTTTTGGGGGAGTCAAAAGTTTGACTGTATGGGGCGTTGGGGCCCCTAATCCCCATGTTGTTCAAGGGTCCACTGTACTCAACTTGGATGCATCTCACAGATAGTATTTTGAGTGAAAGAAGCCAGAAACAGTACATACTATATAGTTCCATTTATATGAAGGCCTAGGACAGGCTAGAGAAATCAGAACAGTAGTGGCCTAGCAGGTGCTCATGGCCTGGGAGAGGGCACAAGGGAACCTATGATACAGCCAATGTTCTATGTCTTGATATGGGTGATGTTTACACAGATATAAACATGTGGAAAAATTAGTTAACCTGTACACTTAGATGTGTGCATTTTACCCTATGTGTATTATCTTCCAGTTAAAAATGTACACGTCACAGTAAGAAATTTGCTTTCCACCAGCACCTACATAAGAATGCAGGTATCCCTATATACCTGAACTCTCACTGCGAATAGTCCCAACAAGGGCTTGCTCTTTCTTTTAACCCCAAATTTGCTATTTAAATAAAAAACGTGCTGTGCAACTATTTTAAGTCCTGTGTGAGTCCAGGGTGAGGCCGACACCAGTCGCAGCTCACCTGTTCTAACAGGATCCTGTCTTGTGAGTTATTGGAGTGTGTTACACATTTCCTTTCCTCTTGTAAATCCTCACCCTAGAATATTTCTCCCCTTGATATTTTAGAGAAAGTGGAAGGGAGAGGGAGAGGGAGGGAGAGAAACATGGATTGGTAGCCTCCGACCCAGGACCGGGGATCAAGCCTGGAGCCGAGGTCCGTGCCCTTGGCCAGCATGGAGCCCTGACCCTGCAGTGCGAGGGCCGGCACCCTGGCTGCTGAGCCGGACCAGCCAGGGCACACGCCACACATTTCTGGTGCTATCTGTCTGGGTCCCTGTGCACACTTGTGCCAGGTGCCTGGAGGCACCGCCAGTCCGGGTGCCGTCAGTGGTATGTTGATTCTCTTTAGTTTCCTTTCCCCCCCACTTAACTCTGATGACTGTTGCAGGGTGGAAATATAATTCACATCTGATTCTCTGCAAACTTGTGTACTGCATTCAAACATAGCCACCTGATGCATGCATTAAGTGTCAAGCAGTCATGTAACCGGGTTTTGTCAATGGTTTTTAGTATGCCAAATCCTTGGTGGATTGTTCCAGAAGTGTTTGAGTGTTTTAGCGGTATTTGGCACAGTCGGTGGAGTTTTTGGAGGGTACTGGGAGTGAGTATGTTATTTTCCAGATTAAAATTGTTGTTTATCCTCGAATTTTCTATTTAATGGCTTTTTTAGAGATGGATTAGATTTAGATTATGAGGGATGCCTATTTATAGAGGTACATACCTACATATGTAATATATTGCATATACTACCTACATATACAATATGTATAGACATATGCAATGAATATGTAACTGGGCCAAGTTCCACCAAACAGTACTTTACTTTAGCCACTTTTTTCTGTTCCTTTTTTTTTTTTTGAAAAAATGTTTTCATTGATTTCAGAGAGGGGAAGGGAGAGGGATAGAAACATCAATGATGAGAGTCATTGATCAGCTGCCCCTTGCTGGGGATCGAGCCCAAAACCTGGGCATGTACCCTGACCAGGAATCGAACCGCAATCTCCTGGATCCTAGGTCGATACTCAACCGCTGAGCCGCACTGGCCAGGCCTTTTCCCCCTTTTATTTTAATCGCTGAGTATTCCTTGGTCTGGATGTACCCGCCTCTCTAATGGACAATGTGGTGGTTTCCAGTTTGGGGCTATTGTGCATGAAGGTGCATTTGAACACAGGTCTTTGCATGCCATCCACTTTTCACAGCACATATTTTGTAATGCCCAGGACAATACACAAAATATTTATAACTTTTTAAAAACATTGTCCCATCCAACAGCATCTGGGACATGGGCCCCCTTCCCTCCCACTGTGCCCAGTGTTAATCCCTTGGCTGCTGGGTCATGGGGGGAGGTCCAGGGGGCCCCAGGAAGAGCCAGGAGGGTAATAATAGGGGACTCATGGCAGGGAACACCTGCCAATGGATTAATAATCCATAATTTAATGTTTCCATTGTTTAAAACACCTGCATGGCCACACCAGTGCATGTGCTGGCTGGAATGTCAGCCCTGGGAAGGTCCTCTTGGCTCTCCTGAAATAAAGTTCATAGGTAATTGAACTCAACTGCACATGACTTTAAAAACAATCTCATATTGTCTGAACTGTAATTAAAAGAAGTAAAAGGATAGAAATTTATAATATGCATTTCAGTATGGGAACGTGTGGAGCCATCTCCCCAGAACCCAAGGAGGTAGCCAGATGTTTACACCTGTAATGAATGCAGCTCCCAACACGGCTAGAAACACGTGGTGTCGGTGTTTAAGAGCTGTGAGGAATGCGATTTTCTGAACTTGTTGACACTCTTTGGCCAAGTTTTGAACAAAACACAATACAAGCTGCACTTCCTGGAAAATTCAGAACCTATTCAAACCTTACAGAAAAGACTTTGTGTTTGCAAAACGAGAGAGTTAAATTCTGGGCTCAGCTAATTATTAACCAGGTTTGGCAAGTAAGGCCAAAATTTACCTCGTATGAGCTGGTATGGATGTGCTGGTTAAAACACTGAAATACTTCTGGCTGATTAACAGTATGAGAGCAACTGAGAACGCAGTAAATTCAATAATGACAAGTTGTAATATAAACTCATTAGTTCAAGTGAATTGTTGTGATGGTTTTTTTTATCATTTCATTACTTCGTTGATAAAGACCATACAAAACTATCAGACTGTAATATAAGGGCCAGAAAAGTTTTTAATGTAATTGCTGTTAGTTCAGGAACAGTGAAGAGAGGAGAAAACACCAAAACACTATGGTTGATACTAAGATACATTTTTTATCTATTGAAATATTAAGTCACCTAATGATTCACAATTTTATGAGAAGTTGCTAGAAGCATTTAATGTGGTTCCCTTATCAAATCACAGCTAAGGCAAGATGATGTGTGTGTGTGTGTGTGTGTGTATATATATATATGTTAATTTATGAATATACATATATACAGCTGTGTCAATCAAGAAATCACACCAACAATTTCTAAATTAAGTAAAATCATTAAATAATTTAAAATGAGTTGAGCCTGGCCCATGTGGCTCAGTTGGTTGGGCCTGGTCCCATGCACCGAGAGGTCCCTGGTTTGATTCCTGTCAGGGCACATGCCAGGGAGTTCTGGGCTCAATCCCCAGTAGGAGAGGCAGCCGATTGATGTTTCTCTCTCATAAAAGTTTCTTTCTCTCTCTCCCCCCCCTCCCTTCCTCTCTCTGAAATCAATAAAAACATATATATATATTTTTAAAAAGAATGAGTTGAGCTTCAACTTATGTTCTTGGCAATTACTTAAAGAAATATGAATCTGTAGAAAGATCATTTTGATTATTCTGAGAATTGAAAAGAAACATAAACACTGACGCAGCCCTGGCCTGGCGCTGAGGCTTCGTGCTCGACGCTGGGCTCCGGTGCCGGAGTAAATCAACGGAGGCACCCGGAGGTGGGGCGCAGTGGTTCTCTCTCCTCCCCTAAGAAAACCAATAAATAAAAACATTAAAAATCAGTAAGTAAGCCCAGCCGGGTGTGGCTCAGTGGCTAGAGTGTCGGCCTGTGCACCGGAGGGTCGTGGGTTCAATTCCCAGCCAAGGGCACGTACCTGGGTTGCGGGTTTGATCCTGGGCCACGGCTGGGGCGTGTGCAGGAAGCAACCAATCGATGTGTCTCTCTCACACCAATGTCTCTCTCTCCCCCTCCCTTCTACTCTAAATGTAAATAAATAAATAAATAAACATTAAAAGGTCGTGCGTATATTGACTTATATAATAATTTATATTACCATACTAGTTGCAAAATACTTTGAACATCACCTGCACTTCATGAATGTCCAATGGGACATTTGAAAATGGTATGTCATTAGAGTGTCATGCCAATACACCAAGGTTGCAGGTTTAATCCCCGGTCAGGGCACATACAAAAATCAACCAACGAAAGCATAAATAAGTGGAACAAATTGATGTTTCTCTCTCTCCCTCTCTCCTTTCCCCTCTCTAAAATCAACAAATAAAAATTTGAAAATGGCATGTGACAAAGGACACTGCTTTATTGTGTGCAGGCACCCTGCATACATTATAAGACATTCTGCATCCCTGGGCCATGTCATCCAAGAGCCAAGAGCACCGGCCAACCACAAGTAATAGCTTAAATCACCACCATGCTTCCAGAATGCTCCATGGATGGGAACCCAACTGTCTCTGCAAGCTATTTGTGCGTTCAGAGGCTAAAAACAGAGGCTGCGTTATCAGAAGTCAGGCTCTGGACATCTAAGCCTTGGGAGACTGGGCCAAACTTGCATCTGTCTTTTCTTGCTGATGTGTGACGTCTCCTTCTGTGAGAGCTTAACACTTTAATCCCCCCACCCAATCTACAGGGTCAGAGGGGCAGTGACTTGCCTAAGGTCACAGAGAAACTAGTTGGCCACACCAGGATCCAAACCCAGCCCTGACTCCTCATCCTTTTACCACTCAAGTGCCTCACAGCACCTGTGGGGCGTGTGCATTCATTACCCCCATTTCCCAGGTGCAGAGCATCAGTTCAGAGAGGCACAAGTCACGGGGGCCCTGGTTCACAGCGGGAGGAAGTGGCAGCGCTGGAGTTTGAACCCAGGTCTCTCCCACTTCAGAACCTGTGGTTTAAAAAGCCAGGTGCACACACCCACAGGGTGTGCAGAACGAGTCGTTGGAATGAGGGAAGTAAACAAAAACTTCTATATTGATTTTTAATTTTAAAATGAAATAATTTAAGCCTTATTACTAATATACAGAATGGTAGTAGTACCTGCATGTAATTGATAAATGCGCATATTAGGTCACATGCCCAAACAGAATTTACTCTTAGGTGCATGATCACAAAAGGAAGGCAGCTATCACTTCCCCTGCTAAGTGATAAGAGGCCCTCTTGGGACCAGTACTAGAGAGGGCCACCATGGGCCACTTCAGTGTGGGCTCCAGAGTGACAGCCTGGGTTCAAGTTCCCACTCTGCCACTTCCTAAGCTGTCTGGCCTTGGCCAAGTGACTTTACGATTCTGGTCTCAGTTTCCTCATCTGTAAAGTGGAAATAATAGCAGCTGTCACTTGGGAGGGTGAAACACTGAACCATGCCTGGTACACAGTAAGTGCTCAGTAAATGTGAGCTCTGAGTATTGTTTACCTGCCTTACAAGCAGGGAAAGAGGTGCAGAGAGCTAAAATAATGAGGTAACAGTTAAAAAGGAGTGGAGCCGGGATCCAGAACCCCACTCTCAACCACAGTCCCACCTCAGAGCTCTGAGCCTGTTTCTTCCTCTGCAAGATGGGTTAAGAGCAGCATGCACCGCCCAGGGCTCTCCCAGGAGGGAAGAGGTCACATACTGGAAGAAGGGGAGATGGTCATCCTGTCCCACCAGGCACAGGGGCTTAGAGGGAAGACCAAAGGCTTAAGAGATACAAAAGCTGTAGAACAGAAAGGAGGCCTGGGCTTACTATCCCCTTGGCCACATGATAGGACAAAGGTGCCCTCTAGTGGGATAAGCAGCCCCAGCAGCCAAGTGTCCTGGTGGCTCTTCATCTCTCCATGCGCTGGGTAGCCAGGGCACTCACTGAATCCTGGAGGGAACTGAGGAACAAAGGAACTGGGACACTCTCCCAGGGCCACCTAACTAGTTAAGTGGTAGAGCTGGGGTTTGAATCGCGGCAGTCTGGCCTCAGAACCTACATTGTTTCTCCCTTTCTTTCCAAAACTGTCCCAGCCCTAGAGCCCAGGGCGCGACTTTAATGTCCTGGACTGTGCTGGGCCCTGCAGGGCAGCGTGGGATCCCTGGCCTGTCCACAAAATGCCAGCGACACCAAAACAAAGGACGGTTCCCCTGACGCCAGGCGTGGGAGTCAGGGGCCTCAGCCGCTTCCTGCCAAACTCAAGAGAGCCGGGTTGGGGTACTCGGGGTTCTCGATGACCCCGGGGCCGAACTTGAGCTCCAGAAAGCGACGGTAGTTGTTAGGTGCCTGAGCCATGAAGCCGGCAAAGGGCAGGGGCACCAGAGGCTGCAGGAAGTGTTCGGGGAACTCAACGTCCTGCCGGTGGTCCAGCCACGTGTCCTTGGTCATGACCCCATTGCGGGGGTAGAAGGGCCACAGGTCCACGTGCAGGTGGTTGCTCTCGCTGAACTGCACGCGGAAGAAGTCGCCCTCTATGGCCTTCTCCCACACGAAGCCGCGCTCATCCACCACGGAGCCCGCCTCGGCCCCCCGGAGCTGCTCACAGTTGCCCACGTCCTCCAGGTAGATGCCCAGGTCCACGTCGTAGTCCCACGGGATGATGTCTCCGTGGCGGGCCGCCCCCAGCAGGGAGCCGCCCTCCAGCCAGTAGCGGACGCCNNCCAGCCAGTAGCGGACGCCAGCGGCTTCCAGCACGCCCACCACGTAGCGGGCGGTCTCGCGCAGCGCGCGCAGGCAGCACGGGGGCGTCCAGCGCCCCTCGTACAGGTAGGACGGCGTGTCCCCCACCACGGTCCCGAAGCAGCGTGGTGTCTCTTTGCTGCAACCGAACCATTCGAGGCGCCCTCCCTCCCAGCTCACGAGGCGGATGCCCAGCGCCTGCAGCAGCGCAGCCCGCCGCGCACGCCCCTCGCGCTCCGCCTTCCAGCGCGCGTGCGCGGTGATCAGC